GCCCAATGAAAAACATCAACAACGCCACCGCTCCAGGTAAGCCTCCTCCCCACCGTTTATTTCCTTGTCCTTCGTTTGCATTTTTGCATGCAGAACGTGATTTCATGTTGTGCTGTAAAAATACAACGTTGGGTGGTTATTGTGCTAACGCACAGTAACCAGCCCAATTAGGTCTGGGCTGGGACATCAGCCCAGCCCACAGTAGATGGCTCAGATCCATCCCAGCCCAAAAAGGTTGGGCCAGGTCTAGCAGCTCATTTAAAAAAAAAATTTAAAAATATTTATTTTAGAATTTTATAATTTTTTCTCATAATTTTTATGTCATTTTGATTAATATCGGGCAGTATTTTTCAGTATTAAAATACTCGATTTTTTTCAAAACTTTCAAAAAATATAAAAAAATTGAAAAAAACAAAAAATATTTTTGTACATAAGGTCAAGTGTCTCAAAGCAAAAAAAAAATCATATTGTATTTTTCATACACCAAAAACAATATTTTAGCATGCATTTTAGCTTTAATAACTAGTTTATTAAAGTTAAGAGAATATTGACCAAAATTTCAAAAATAACAAAAAATTTATTTTGTTTGTCGCTTAGTATCCGGGTATGACATTACACGTAATGTGTATGTTGGATATTTAATTCATTTTTTCTGGATAATAAAACGGTTAGGTTTAATCGCATTTTAAGATAAGAATCTTTTTATTTAGGAGGATTTATCATGAACTTTAAACAAGTCAAAAATTAAAACCATAAAACAAGACGTTACATTTGATCAGATAAAACAATGCAGTCTATATTAGGTAGGACGTATTTGAGATGTTAATATTTTTTTTTTAAATAATCAGTCTCTATATCTAATCTCTGAAACCAGTTAGAATTTCTAATAATCAAAATATTAAGTGACGACTTCCATTCTAATTTTTTATTAATAAGAAATATAAGAATTTTTTATTTTTCTATATTTTTTAGAAACACACTACATTTTTAATTTTTCTTCGAAAATAGATAATTATCGCAACAACATACATGCCGGACATTAATTAATAAATTAACCTCGTTGATATTTATCAAGATGTGCATTGTTGAAAACCTAGCTACTCAAAATTAAAACATTGTTAGGCAACGCTGCCGCCGCAGATTCCAAGCAAGAATTCGCTCTGGTTCTCGGTTTTTCCCCGTGGTTTTTAACCAATACGAAGAGAATCTGAACATGATCATGCCAAAACTTAAGATTCCATTGAACAGATGTTTTCTTAATTCTCACCTCCTATATTCCCCCATGGGTTATATTAAATAATTTAATCTTAGTGATTAATGATGTAATGTTAGGGTATTGAAATCGTCACAAAAGAAATTAACTATCCTTTAACAACGAACAAAAACAAAGATATAAAAAATTAAATAATTATTATCCTTTCAATTTGTGGAAGTTCACACATATGCAATCAAGGTTTCAGAGAATGTCTTGGCTGGTTAAACTGTGGAAGAAATAAAAAGTAGGGTTGTCGTATCCTTTGAGTGCTATGTTGGCAACACCTTTAAAATTTTCTCCATGCAATCCATAATTTCTTGTATGGGCAGAGTTTAGCCTACCTCGTGCTAAATTGCTGTGGACCTACTGCTAGGGATAATAAATTTTAATGCTGAATCAAGGGAAAAAGATGTTGAACCAACCAATACAAAAAAAAAAAAAAAAAAAAGTAAAGAAAAAGGTCTCAATGATTAACCTTGGAATAATTGGTAAAATGAGTAGTTTTTTTGTTTTTTGGCTCAAATGAATTTGAATTGATTGATTGTGTGATCAAAAGTGGTTGATTCTTTTTTTGACTTTGTGATTTGGTTAGGATTGGATGGTTAAATCAACTAATGGAATGTCTAATATAAGTACAGCAATCTTACTTCATTATGACGATAAAATAGTTTGCCTGGTAAAGATAGATGGACAATAATGGTATAGGAAATCCCATATTTTATTTATTGTAGTGTAATAAGGGTTGGTTTTTAAAGTATTTTTTATTTTAAAATATATTATAATAATATTATTTTATTTTTTAAAAATTATTTTTAACATCAGTACATTAAAATAATTTATAAACATTAAAAATATATTAATTTAAAATAAAATAAAATAATTTTAAATTTTTTTAAAAACACTTTTAAAATATAATATTACATGCTCATGGCCATCTCTTAAATTGCGTTGAGTGTTAAAAAAAAATTCAATAAATAATTGCCTTGTTTGAACATATTAATCTAAAAAACCAACACTATGTCAAAATTCGAGTTAATTTCTTTTTGAATTTTTCTCAAAACAAAAACAATGTTGTTATTTCTTTTAAAACTTTTTTCTGGACTCATTCGACTTAACCTGCTTTATCTTATCTGTAACTTGTAATTGGATGAACTTGTAAGTTGGGTTTAATAATTATGGGCTTGCTATCACCGAGATTGGGCCTTCAATGGTAAATTGGCAAGGCAGCCCAGTCTGCCTTAAGGCCTTAACCAGTAAAATGGGCAAAGGATCAGTAGGGACACGGGAAATTTGCTCAACAAGTTCTCATGTCTGACCTTTGAGAATTGAGAGTCCAATCCACAAGGAGCCTTATGGACTTCTGGGTGTCATTGAACACCCATTGGCCATTGGATCTTGGGCCTATTACAGACAGACAGCCTGAGGGAAAACGCTCTCCCTTTCTTGATTTTTTACCATTAATTACTCCACGAGCATCATCAAATTCAGATGATTTAATTTACGAAAAAATTATAATTTAAGATCATATAAAGTAATTTTAAAAAATAAACTAACCCAGAATCCTTAAATCCTAAACAATAAACATCAGCATTACTAAATCTTATTTTTTTCCCTAAAACATACTGAATTCAATAACGCAATTAAAATTCAAGTTATGAATTAAATGGATTAATTTAGATTAATTCAAAATATTATTATTTTAATTTCTTAAAAAAATATTAATATTTTTTAATATCAAATTAATTTTTTTAAATATTAATATTTTTTAATATCAAATTAATTAATTGATCAATAAAATCTATGCGTAATTAATTTGGAACACAATCCTAATAGGATCTGGAATTGATAGACAACAAAGCCGAGCCACTGGTCGTAGCCTGGTGCGGCAGAATGATTCAAGGAGTAGTTGTGTGAGACTAATTAATGAAAATAGAAAACCTATGCTACGTGTTCGGCATTCTTACAGATCGGTGGTTGATTCTATTCATGAGCCTCCTCAAAAAATCTTGGCCAGATATTTAATTGCATTAGAGGGTAATTTCAATCCGTTTCTTTTTAATTAATGCAGGCCAATCCATCTTTAAATACGGCAGCTGGGATTTATTGCTGCCCTTTTCTGAAATCAACGAATTAATCATTATATCACTCTTTCATGTTTTTTTTTTCTTTCACAATTTCTTTTAATTCAAAACATTATATATTCCTCTACGGACAATTTATTTTAATTATTTGGTGAGGAATTTGAACCAGACGCTCCAATTAATCAGACTCATTCCGAGTGCCAAATTCAATTAGCTTGCTTGATTAGACCAGTTTCCCATGGGTTACTTGTCACCGATTAGCTCATTATTATTATTATTATTATTATTATTATTATTATTATTATTATTATTATTATTATTAGAATCCTAGTAAGCTTATATCGTAACTTGGACCCAACCAACCACAAGTTGCCAGACCGAAAGCCCCGCGGTCGGTCTTTGCCTTGAGCAATAACAATTGCGCGTTACTTATTCGACGGTATACCGCAATGAATCCACGCAAAAACGCTTCAACCAGAGCTAGAGATTGAAGGAAACCAAGAGACATGTGGCGGCGCGTGACTTCACTTTCTCCAGTGATCTCCACCTCGAAATCAACCTCATTTGATCAGGTGCCTAACCCACTTCTTGAATTGACAAAAAAGATATCATCTTTATAAATCTAGCAGTACTCATTTTTGTCTTGTTTTGTTCGTGTTGCTCTCTGCTTTCTTTGTTGGGTTTCTTACAGGCAGCTTCTGGCTTCAAGATATGGAGATCATCATTTAGTACAGAGACACCCACTATGGTATTGCTCTCATATCTTGTTTGGTTTCCTTGTAGTAACTGAGCTAATGATATTATCCATCAGATTTTTAGGCAGTTTGTGTTTACATGAATTGTGAAAGATTTTTGTTGGTTTCAACTTGTGTTTATCCTTGTCTAATAATGTATGGGCAATTTTGTCAATTGCTATTTTTTATCTACAGTGTTTGATTTGTTCATGACTTTATGTTTGGAATAATTTGCTTCCTAATTTTTGCTTATTTGCATGCTGAAGGTAAAAGATGCAACTACTTCGTTCAAAGAGAGAAACCCATTTATTACTTTTGTCCTAGGTAGGTAATTAAGAATCTTGCATTTATAATACTAGTTGTGTTTGTGCGCGCGCGCAGTGCCTGTTTTTTTTCTTTGCCCTTTTTGTTAATTTGTTGTTGGTGAATTGTTCATATCTGATTTCCTCCCTTTCTTCTAATAGTTATGCATGATAATTAAATTAATTCCTTAACTTTCAGGGGGTCCTGGTAGTGGAAAAGGCACACAATGCCAAAAGATTGTTGAAACATTTGGATTCAAACATCTGAGTGCAGGAGAGTTGTTAAGGAGAGAAATAGAGTCTAACAGTGAAAATTGGTAATAATTCTAAGTGAAACAGAGTTGTTGAGAATCTTTTATTAGCACATTCTGAAATTAAATACATTTCCACTGATGAAGGAAATCAAATTTCCAGGTCCCAGATGCTTAACACAATTAAAGAAGGCAGGATTGTTCCTTCAGAAGTGACTGTCAGACTCATCCAGCAAGAGATGGAATCAAGTGACAACAATAAATTTCTCATTGATGGTTTCCCACGAACTGAGGAGAATCGAATAGCATTTGAACAATTAGTGAGTTTCCTTTTCTTTTTTTTTTCACAACTTTCATGAAAGATGTAGTTTCTCATCCTGATGTTTGCACTGATATTCAAAGGATCTGGTTTGTTTTCCTAGCAATTTGATTATGATCTCCAGTTATGTTAAAGCTCTTCAGGTAGAGTAATGGTTTAGCAGAATATCATATAAATGTTAAAGGAAACTGAGCAGTGTGATAATGAAAGGAAAACAGTGGAGAAATCAAACTGATGGGAATTTGAAGCGTGATTTGGTCAATGGATGATTTTCATCGAATCAAATGATTTTTTTGCTGGCTGTGGAGCGTATAATCATGTTGATATTGATGCAGATTGGGCTTGAACCGAATGTTGTGCTTTTCTTTGACTGTTCTGAAGAAGAGATGGTCAAACGAGTGCTAAACCGCAATCAGGTGCATATATGTTATATAGTTTTTCCCCATTCAAATATGTAAGAGCAATTGTTGAAGTATATTGTTTCATTGCAGGGCCGAGTTGATGACAACATAGATACAGTCAAGAAACGTCTTAAAGTGTTTGAAATCCTAAATCTTCCTGTTATTGACTACTACTCCAAGAGAGGGAAACTTCGTAAGGTAAGTATCTGGAAACTTAACTACCTTATAACTCTTGTCTCTAACTATCTTGTTTCTATCCTTCAGTCTTGCATTTCTGTTAGATTCTTTATGCATATTTGTCATGATCTATGTTATATAGCAGTTCACTTCTGTTTACAGTTACATATAAAGTAAATGATCTCTGAGACTTATAGTGGTTAATATAAATGTGTGCAGATCGACGCAGTGGGAACAGAAGATGAGATTTTTGAAAAAGTCCGCCCTATTTTTTCTGCTTGTGGTATGATGTCTCATTATTTCGCATTTTAACATGCCTTGCCATTCCTTGATCACTTTCAAATCCTATCTGCTCTATATTAATGGCCACATTTATATTAGCTTTCTCAATGTTGAATGGAATAATAGGATTACTTTGAATCCGATATTCACTGGAGGAAACACTGCAAGTCTTTTGCTCCACACTTTTAAACACTAATATGAGATATTAGGTTATCAATTCCTCCATGCTTTTGATTCTAACACAGATTCTGTGAAGCTGAAAAGGCATGTAAAACCCTCAAGGCATTTACATCCATGGAAAATTCTGCCTATCCTGTATGCTAGTCAAAGAATTAGTGTATGCCATTGATGGAGTTAATCTTTCTGCAGCTGGGAAATGAACTGAAAATTGTCAGTCAAGGCCGAGCATCAAAAGGTTCCAGTATTTAGTTGGACTTGCAACCTTTTGGACTGCAATGACTCTTAAGTAAGTTGGCAAACCTCTGTTTTCTTAAAGGAGTGAAATTATCAGCCAAAGGATTATTTGAACTGCACAGTGACAAACATTTCTCAGCCTCGAGGATTAAGCTTCTTTTCAGTGTCTAATGGTTTTACGGGTGCCTGTACATTGTTCAAGGTGCAAGAAACCCTTGAAGCCAACCTGTTTCAATAAGTGGAATAAAGTGGGTGCAGGTAAACTCCAATATGTGAATGATCAACAGAAAACACAATCAGCTTTATACAAAGTTGTATGCTTCTAGATGCTCTCTTTTCTTTTTAGAAAGTTTCTGAATGGAATGTTCCAAATTATATGATCTTATTGTTCGCAGCTAATGAGTAGAGAGACATCTAGTATTTTACGTCAGACTTCTTGTATGTTATTTAATTGTGGTTGAATGTAAGAGGTATCGTTTTATTGCCCAAAAAAAAATCATCCTAGGGGAATCCATGGGGGCTGAATCAAGGGAAACACATTGCAATTTGTAGTAACAAGTGCCAAAACTTGACAAGGTGCTACGTTATTTGCATTGATTACTCGCTGCATGTTTTGTTAAGAGAAAAGGAAGGTACTTTGCACTTTCACTGCGGGATTTAATGGCAAATATAGTAGGGGTGAGCATTTTTGGTTTGATCTGATTTTTTTTTTAATAATTAAATTAATTTTTTATAAGAAAATCAAAACTGAAATTGAAAAAATAATTAAATTATTTTTTTATAAGAAAATCAAAACTGAAATTGAATTGAAACCAGTTTAAACTGATTAGTTTTGATTTGGTTAATTGAAGGTAAAAAATAGAAAAATCCAGTTTAATTTTTATCAGCATCACCACCGGAAGCCTCTGCTGGCAGGTCTTCGACCTGCTTAGTATTGGGCCTTCTTTAGTTTTTAATTTTACTGAGTTTGCATTTCATGCTGCCATGAAACCATCCAATAAGTGGTCTTCGACGGTGAACATTTGATTATCTCTGAAATCTCATCGTTCCTTTCCCTTCAAGCTAGCTCTCCTCCAGAAAGTAAGAGAAAGTAGATGAAGATTGCTGGTTAAGATCCAGAGAAGGTTTTTAACTGGGATTTGAATGTTATCTGGATTCTAATAAAGAGATGAACAGGGGGGTTGCAATTTATAGTACCACCTGTTTTTTTTATTTTTGTTTGAACCAGTCCAGTTTGGTCTGGTTTATTCAGTTTTAACCTTTTAAAACTGAAATTGAATCTAACCGAATCTCAGAGAGCACATTCTCATATAAGCAGCTATATCTGTCACAATCTGTTGATGGAGCAAGGAGGGTTCATGTTTTGTGAACTAAAATACGGTGAATATTTAGTGGTATTTTATTAATGCAGCAGCTTTTTCTGAAAAAATAAATATCCTTCATGGTTGTGTTAATAACAATTACGGTGGTGAAACTCAGGATATATAGAACAACTCATGTATAAAAAGACCAGCTGAAAAGGTTTTATTTGAAGAACAATATTATGCTTTATATAAATGATTTTTTAAAATATAGTAATTTATAGAATAAAAATCTTAAAATAATCTTTAAAATATAATTATTTTATAGAATGATAAGCTGGAAATACAGTCAGTAACTGAAAAACTCGGAAAATCATCTCATTTTCTAGATCTTCCGGCGGAAGGCATTACATTCATGCATGTGCCATCTCATATCTCATGGCTTACAGCCACCATGTCTTTATGCCATCTCATTCTGATTTGTTGAATTATTTTAAATATATATGCTACAGCTGCATGGACATGCATGTGCCATCTCCTTCTGATTTATTGAATTATTTTAAATATATGCTAAAGCCTCCAAGACTTGGACTTGCATGCATCCACGACAGATTTTTCTATAAATTGGGGTATTCTCACACCTTTCAATGCAAAATAGAGTGAGAGATCAAGAGAAATCGATAAAGAGAGATCATGGAAGCTAAAATATTCATTCCAAGTAATGCTTTAGCATTGCTTCTTACTTTTCTTCTATGCATATCCTTAGCAGATGCCGCCACCACCACCACCAAGAATTCTAGCGAAACCTAAACAAATTACCTAAAAAAAGCTTGCAATTCTACCTTATATCCACAACTTTGCTTGGAGTCCCTCTCTTCTTACACCTCCACCATCAAAACCAATGACCTCAAACTATGTAACAAAGCGATCACTGTGACCCTCAAAGCTGCAAGCAACACATCAAAACTAGTAACACGTTTATCAAAGGGAGGGAACTTGAGCAAGACTGAAGCTGGTATTATTCAAGATTGCATTGATGAAATGGGAGACTCCATCGATATGTTGAAGCAGTCTTTGAAGGCTTTAGGCAGACTAAATGGTTCTGATATTCAATTTCAGATTTCTAACATAAAAACATGGATGAGTGCCGCGTTAACGGATGAGACTACCTGCATGGATGGAATTGCTGAGAGGAATATAAGTAATGAAGTGATGAGAAAGATCAGGAAGACTATAGCGAATATTGCCATGCTGACTAGCAATGCTTTGGCTCTTCTTAATAAACTTCCTTACTAGTTTTTTTTTTTTTTTTGAACAATTTGTATGCAGGCACTTCATTTCTGATGAACTGTCATATCCAAAAAGTTTCTTATATCATAATCCTGAATATTAAGGCTAATTAATTTGTAATTTAGTCCTGAATGAAGGATTATGAACATATGAAAATTATTTTAGAAAAAAAATTGTCATCAGACCCTTAACTACATGTCAAGACAGCAACAGTTGCAAAAGAAGCCAAGGGCAAGCAAGCTCATGTTCAAATTAATGAGAAGCAATCGACAATTCCTACACTGATATGGCAGCTGGCTTTATATATTGAATTGTTGTTTTCTGATTGATCAGATGTTGTTGTCTTGTCTTCTATATTGTTTATTTATTTCGTCTGTGAATCACACAAGCTTATAAAATGTTAAAATTAAATGTTAAGTGTTAATGAATGGATTAATAAGACTATTGAAAGTTAGTTGATGGATGAAGTATTAAAAATATTTTGAAGAATGTGAAAAAATCATATGATAATGAGATCCATTAAATTTTAAATCCATATTTAATTTAGATATAATTCAAAAACTAATTAGTTTATGTTTATGTGAGCATAAGAAATAGAGAATGAAAGGTAATTTAAAGAAATAAAAAAAATCTCAATCCTCAAATGTTTTTTACCCCACCCCTGTTAACCCTTTTCAGGGTTTAGAACATGTTTATTTTTAAGTTGGAAAATCGTTATTTTTAAAAAAGGTTACTTTTTTATTTGAAATTAAGTTGTTTATTTTTTATATTATTTTGATATACTAATATTAAAATTAAATTTTATATAATAAAAAATATATTTTTTATTTAAAAAATTATTATTATCACAAACAAATTATATATATTTTATTTAAAAAATATTTTAAAAAATTATTATTATCACAAACAAATGGACTTCTAGTTTTCTATTCCATCCCTAAAGTATACAAAAAATGGTCAAAAAAGAGTTTAAACTTGCATTCATTCCAAAAGGTTGATTTGATAGTTAAAAACATTACTTCCGGTCTCATTCTTTATTTCAAGCTTGAAATCATAATTCACAAAAGAATTTATTTATTTAAATGCAAGAAATAAATACATCCTTAAATCATTTGAAAAAAAAAATTGATTCACATTCAAATTGGTATAAAACTACGTACCTTTTTATTAACATCGGATTTAAAGAAGAAAATAAAAGGGAGTTGCGTGATTAAAAAAAAAAGCTTGATAACTACAACCCCTTAATAATAATACTAGGTGCTTAGCTGCTGTTGACTGGTAATTGAGGGGAAGCTAGACCAATTAGTGACCTAATTAAGATCTCACAAGGTCTCAAGAAAGATCCATTAATGTAATTTAATTTCAATGAAATATACACTTGTGTCATGATAATCACAGCACACAGTCGAACCAAATAATAATAATAATAATAATAATAATCTTACAGCAATTTAATTCAACACGTACGTCAGCTATTTTTAGCTGACGTACACGTCAAATCCACAAAAAATCGTGATTCGTATTTTCTGGTTATATTGCAAGGCATTTTGATAAATAATCTACGAAAGGCATCTTAATTGAATTAAATTTGTATTGTTATAGTATAATGTTTGCAACTTCAATATCATATGAAAAAAATATTTATTTATATAACAGTACTGAAATTTACAGCATCGACTTGTAATTTTGTTTTTCCAGTTATGTAAATATTGTATTTTAGATAATGATCTCCAAAATTTTTGAAAATTTAATTTGGTTGCTAGTTAAGTGGATGTACATATCCCACTCATCTATCTTTACAGAGAGAATGGTGGTGTTTGATTTTTTTTATTTTTTTTATTTAGACAATGATAGTTAAATTAAATTATGTTAGATCAATTAAAGTGTTTTTTATACACCTTTTAATTTTTTAAGTGATGGAATACTTTTTTTAAAAAAAATCTTGGACATGGAAGACCACGTATGTGAATTTGATTGGTCAAAACTTGATTATTCGATGCCCTTAAGTCAAATTAACAAACTTTTGTGATGTATGTGAATAAAATGATTAAAATATCTTAAAAATTCATTTAAAAGGTTGGTATATTTCAATATGAGATAGAAGGATGGATATGATTAAAATTTAAAAATATAAAAGTTAAAGGTAAGATGATTATTGGGAGTGTGTGTATATTAAGAACATCCTTATCCAATATATATTACATTTCTCACTTATGATGGCAGCGAAACATCTTTTATTTAGCAAAAAGGTTTATTTTTTTTAAATTGTCCAACATATGTAAGAGCCAATATAAAAAGAAATCCAATTTATTTTTCTAATTAACTATTTATTTATTTTATTTTATTTTAAATCACTAAATATAAATACCAGACTCATCTCTTTTATGATAGTAAAAGGGAATCCTAAAATGTTATTCAATTTATAATATTACTATCAAAATATTATGCTATTTTTTAATTAAATCTTTTAAAATTATAAATCCTTGGTACGTGAAGAAGTATGGCATTAACCACTGAAAAAAGAACTACTTTTTTCTTCATATTGGTTTGCTAATTAATATTAAAATTTCCCACTTGATGGGTGATTTGGAAGGAGCATATCTTGATACTTCAACCTTGCATCTGTTTAGTGCTCATTGACTAGTTCTTCTTCTTCTTTTCGTTTTCGAGTTTTTGGGAGGAAGCTAAATTAATTGTTAGTTGCAGACAAGTTTTTGTAGGCTGATAGATTTGTTACTGGGGTTAAAAGTATTTTTTATTTAAAAATATATTATTATTTTAATAATAAAATTATAGATGATATATTTTTATTATATATGGTATATCTTAGAGAAGTTGAAAAAG